TTATATTTCTTCCATCGGTCATTTGGGTGGGTTAGCAATAGCAATAGCAGTAGACTTATATACCGCTTAATAGGGCTTTAAGTCCTCTCTAAGCGGTTTACAGAGAGTCAGAATATTGCCCCCAACAATCTGGGTCCTCATTTTACCCACCTCGGAAGGATGGAAGGCTGAGTCAACCCTGAGCCGGTGGGATTTGAACCGCTGAACTGCTGATCTAGCAGTAGCCTGCAGTGCTGCATTTAACCACTGCGCCACCTTGGCTCTTTCCATTACTCTACTAAGTAGAGTAATGGTAGAATGTCAGTGCTACTAAATTTTAGGCAACATTAACAAACTGTCCATTTCTTTAACTGGAAGCTAGCTCTATCCTAGCCCAATTCAGTGTCAAGTCCCATACCTGAGAGTGGAGGTGGTGAATCCACCAGACAGCTCAGGAGTTTTCTCCTGGATTCCCCTCTGTCTTCCCTCCTCTGATCTCCCAAAGTTCTTTCCCCAGTGTGTGATACCTTTCTACTGGATTCCCCTCTGTCTTGCCCCCTCTGATCTCCCAAAGTTATTTCCCCAGGGTCCAGGATTCCCTCTGTCTTGCCTGCTCTGATCTCCCAAAGTTCTTTCCCCAGGGTGTGATAGCTTTCTACGGGATTCCCCTGTCTTGCCTGCTCCGATCTCCCAAAGTTCTTTCCCCAGCGTCTAGGATTCCCCTCTGTCTTGCCTGCTCTGATCTCCCAAAGTTCTTTCCCCAAGTGTGATAGCTTTCTACTGGATTCTCCTCTGCCTTCCCTCCTCCGATAAGGTGTGATAGCTTGCGTATTTGTGTATGTTTGTAAGTGCAGGCAAGGTTTTTAGTCCAAAGTCTTAACCCCAAAAGTCAACCATTCAAAGAGGGAGGTGGGGGAGAACCAAGGTTGTACTCCAAGTAGCAAAGCCTTGAAGTGTATAGTACTTATAGCTTTTCAGATTTGTGTCCCTAAAGTAGGTTTGCAATTTTGTTGGTATCTCTCAGAAGCCCTTTCAGTAACAGGAAGTCAGGAGGGAAGCATGGCTCAGAAAAAAGACTTTTTATGTTTCCTGCTCGCCTTCCGATCACTGACCTGGTGTCCCACCCCCCCTCCCGCAAGTCCCAAGAGAAGGTTACACAGTATACATCTAGGACAGGAGAAGGAGGCTATGCTCCGACTCCTCTCGCACCCCCTCCCCTTGAACGTGGTACCTTCCAGCCGTCCCTGGGGCTGCCGTTGCAGGTGGCGCAGTCAGCCGGCAGACTGAAGCCCGGGCGCTGCCCGTTGTGAACATCCCGCAGAGTTGGGGGCCGGCTGCCGTTCCCCACCGCTTGGTGGTCCTTCTCGCCTCGCAGGAAGAGCCCGCAGTGGCGCTGGAACCGAGCCACGAGTTGAGAGCCCAAGAGGCTGCCTTTCAGCCCGGCCATCCTCCCTCCGGATCGTAAGCAAAAGCCAGGTGCAGCTCTGCAGAGGAGAGGGAAGCTCTGCAGAGGAGCCGAAGAGAAGGGCCGGGCTTGGGACAGGTGCAGCCGCGCCCCGAAGCCGGTGCTGCGCCTGAGTCGCTCCTCGACTCGGGTGGCTGCCTTCACTGCGGGGCTGGCGCTGCTCCTCTGGACGTCGGTGCTTTGTAATTAAGCAGGCTCTTCTCGCCTCCAGGAAAGGAAGGAGCCCGTCCTGGGGTCGGATCGGACCGTCACGCCCTCGGGGCGATGGGGGGCCCTTTATCTAAATTAGCCTGGCCATTTCGGCAATTTTTATTTTTCCCGTCCTAGTTCTTCCAACTCGTCTGGATATCTCTGGCGTTTACGGAACCTGCATTCAGCCCAGCCCAGGTCCACAGCCCGGAAGTTCATTGCGGAATCCTAGCCGAGCCATTAGTTTTCAGCCGACCTCCGGAGTTGCGGGGGGGGGGGGGGAGTTGAACCCTGTATGTGACCTCCACTAAACAGCCCCAAGACCAAAGGATGTCCTGGTTTAGCCCAGCGTTACACCAATCTATTTTTCTAGTTGCATTTTTTACATGCTTTCAAGCTGCTAGGTTTGCAGAAGGTGGGACAGGTAACGGGAGCTCACGTTACACGGAACTAGGGACTTGAACGCCCGACCTTCAAGCTTAGCGTCTTAGGCACTGAGCTGAGGCAGGACATAAAATGAATCAGGATATAAAAGTGAGACAAGAGAGAAAAAAGGAATGAAGACTTGTTTTTAAGATGTATAAAAGAACAGGAAATGTTAAAAGCCAAACCTAAACCCCAAGTTCAGTTAAAGTTGACACATATGAATCAAGGTTGCTGGAAAATTAGGCAAGATATTTAGTAACAGGAACTATGAGCCAATCAACGCTAATATGTTACCTTTCCATGTTCTGCTGCTTTTGAAAGATATATAAGATCTGTCTTTTCTATAAGTTTTTGTTGAGATGTTTAGATGTCTGCTTTCGCTATTTTCCTCTGAACCGCTGCGCAAATAAAAACTACTTTTGATTCCGAAATCCGAGTCCCTTAATTTTCTGCAAGAGCCACCGCGTCCCTACACATACCATTGTACCCTCGCTTTAATGTAACAAGGGCCATTTTCTGCAAAGATTTTAAACCTCTGTTCATTCGTCTTTATTTCAGGGAAAATATTGGTATCATTAATCTGGTTGTCCACACCACCAGCCGCATCTTTACTCTGTAGCAACAATGCCAGATTGTGCTGCACCCATTATCCCCTTGTCGTCCTGGTGTTGGCATCTCCCCCCCCACTTTTTTTTAAACATTGCCTCTTGGCAGAAAAGCTGCACAAATCAGAATATTGCAACAAAAATGTCATTTCTGATCTGTTCCTGTTCAGCTTTGATCAAGTATTCAACTGTTCACCCTCTGGATCTCCTCTTTTTATTTTATTTCTAGGATGGATGGTATTTTCTCTGACACCAAAAGATTATTTCTTATCCAATAAGATGGGAAGATAATATGATCTTGTTTTGCAGGAACAAAAACCCATTGAAATTGAGAAGGAAATTTGCAGCCTTTGAAAATATTTCTGGAAGGGAGGGAGGGTCTTCTGGTAGACAAGTGTTGTGCTTGTGTGGTGTTGGGGAAGAAAAGGGGTTTTTGTTTTGTTTTGTAAAAAAGTTTTAAAGGATTTAAAAGTTAGCCCAATGTTAATTTTAGAGCCTGGGGAGAAGCAGGGGAGAGATGGTGGGAATCCATTATTACTGAAAGGACAAACACCAGAAGACAATGGTAGGTGTGGATGCCACTTTTCTGTGAGCAGAAAAAAATAGGGATTGTGTTGGAATTCAGTTTTGTGTTGTGGTGTCTAAAATACTTACTTTGCATGTCCCAGTGTAAATGCTTCCTGTTGGTGGACAGAAAGAACTTCTCTCTTTCATTTTCAGTTCAGTTCTCCTTCTTTTGAATCCCTCATGTAATCCCTCTCTCCATAATGGTGGAAAGAGGTTATTATAGTCTTAGTAACTCAGACTGTCCAACCACCATGCTATTTTCCAAATAAATTTTATTATTATTTTATTTCACATAAACAGTAGTTTAAGAATACTTTCTTAGAAATCTTATACTTCTATAGTCAGGGTTTCTCTCTCCATGCATTCATAATTCTGTATTAAGATATCCATTTTCCAATAGCATGACCATCAGAAGCAAGTGAAATCTCTTGAGCTAGTTACCCCTGCAAAATAGTTGCAAAGTGAAATAAATCTTACATGTTATTGCTTCAGTAATATCATATCCACATAAGTAGTGAAGGTAACTGTTAATCCAGAATGTAAGATAAGGAAAGGAGACTGGGAAGGGAACTAATCAAAAGGCAATCTTGGGACTGCGGAGTGACTTTGCTGTCAATTTAAACTCCAAGTGTTATTCCGTGGCTACTAGATATGCTTTGCTCTCTGTGGGCAAAAGGTATAATTTTGGACTTTTAATGTTCAACACTCAGGAGAAGCAGCAGTAATAATTTGATTACAAGTGATTCTCTGTCATCAATGTGCTTATTGGACTAACCAGTTGTCCTCCACATTAAAAGTACCGGCTTTTAACATTCAGGTGTATTAAAGGAGAAACTGCATAAACTCAATAGCTAGTTTGGGAAGAGTATGAGCTAAAGTTATAGCTCACTAATCTATACTCCCCCCTTCCCTCTGGAATAACCTGGAGCATGCTTCAAAGAGACCCATTCTATCATTGTAACTGTAGAACCCATGCTCTATCTTGTTTCTGTGCAGTCTGCAGCTGATAAAAGATATACCGTATTTTTCGAAGTATAAGAGGCACCTTCCCCCCCCTCAAAAGAGGGTGAAAATCTGGGTGCATCTTATACACTGAATACAGCATTTTTGGTCTCCCAAAGCACCACCCACGCACATCCCATTTTTTCTTTTGCAAAAATTGATGCACAGAGGGTTTGGTAGGCCTACAAAGTGCTCCTGGGGGCTGGGAAGGGCAGAAACAAGTGGAAAACAGGCCTTTTTTGCTCATCCCCCCGCCCCCCCCGGCAGCCCCAAGAGCACTTTGCAGGTCTCTCAAATTCTTTGAATCCCACGTTTTTCACAAAAAATGAAGTGTGCAGAGGGTTTGGGAGGCCTGCAGAGTGCAAAAACTTTTTTTTTAATTTACCTCTTCAAAATCTTGGTGCATCTTATACCCTGAAAAAATACAGTATGTAGCATTAACGCTCAGATTCTTTGAACACATAAAGGTCAGAGAGAAATATAAGCAAAATAAATGGTTAATTAAAAGTTATTGAATATTTGTAAGAGCAGTTCTGTGTTTAGTATAAGTACATTCAGAAATATATTTCTTTTTTTAAAAAAAAAATCTCCAAGAGAATTGAAGACAAACTGGGAAGTTAATACAGATGTTATGTTAAATGTGTTGTTTCTCTCAGTCATTAAATGATTTCTTTATTTTTATGGTCCTTTCAAAATAAGAATAGCACTACCTTTGATTTGTATTGGCTAATTAAGTAATATATATGGCTGAGTAAGCAGCAGTAGAAGTTCTTTCATTTTATTGCTGATATCCAGGAAATGCTATTTCTGTTAGAAATATATGTAATGTTTTACTTTCATATCAGACTGCAATGCAGAGGCGCTGGTGTGCAAAATGGAGTTATCAGCCCAGCCCTATTACTCTAATTTAAGCAAGGCTTTCAATTTGCTTTACAGTGTACCCTTCATTGTGATCCAGAATTCTGTCCTTCATAGCATGTAGGATCATCAGCCTGCAGGGTGCTTAAGGTCATCTACTACAGCCTCACAATATGTCTATCCTGGAGCAATCTAAATTACATGTCATTTGCTGTTGATTAAGCTATATGAGCAAATGTAAAGTGTATTAGCATTCAAGTGAGCGCCACACCAAGAAGATATTTCCAATTAATTGAGAATGGGAGAAGATAATAAATACAGAAATTGCTATGAAATTAATTCTACTGTCAAAACTTAGCAGCTTTAACTGGAATGGAGACTTCAGTTCATACCGTATTATTTTTTTTTGAAGAAGTAAAGTGTCTGGTTTATTTCTAATACTATAATCATAGGTACTACCTGAGGGGGAAGGTACAGTAGGTAGAAATTGGTTGGATATGCCTTTACTTCCCTAGGGTATTCAAGACCAGTCTTGGTCAAGTCAAAACATTAGCTTTGGCTTGGCATTAGGTAAACCCAACCACCTGACCTACAAACAATGGTAAAAACAACTTGCTTTGTGTAGTAGATGACTTAGTCATGATCTCTTGGCCATCATGCCTTGGAGATACAGTGAGAGAGATCCTCATTTGTTTGAACTTGAACTTTCAAAGAAAAAGCAGGGGTTATAAATGTAATAAGCAAATAACTAATGTCCATGTATTAGCTGGATTTGGTCATGATTTCTCACTAGTCTTTTGTTATGTAAAATGTTGATGAAACAATGCATTTAGTAATTATATAGGGTTGCATAATAAGCGTAATAGGCCATCTGCAATATACCTTAAATTATTTCAAACATACCTTTTTGCATTTTTAACTTGTTTGCACTCAGTCACAAGCATGAGTAAACTATTGCAAAGTTCTTCTCAAGAATTAACTGGCATCAATACTAAAACAGTATCTTTAAAACAAAGCATATCATTTGTACCTTTTAAGATAGGTGAAACAAGTCATTTTAGCTTGGGGCATTCATCACAAAATCACCACATCTACATTCATAAATCAAAAGAATATATAAATCAAATAGATATGTAGGTAGGTAGAGATATATTAAAATCAAAAGAATGCACACACATATACACACACCCAAATAAATCAAGAGTGGAATTAAATATTGTAAAGAACATTTCGTTGACTCTACTCTGTTATCTATAGTAAAACACAATAAATTATTTGGCATTATTACATTGTGGTTTCCTCACTGCTGCCAGATGGTAGGGTTGAAATATGCACACACTAATTTCATGTCATGTTCCTACTTGAGAAAAAGATACACAGTAGTGTCAACAGTTTGTTATGTTCTATAATGTTCACTTTTGTTTTATCTTAAATTAGCCACCAATGCAAGCAAATTTCACTTACTACAATCGATGCAATTGCTATATTAAGAGTTCCAAATTCCAGCTTCCATAAGATGCGCAACAGGGATCCTTAGTTTCAGGGATTTATTGTGGTTTTTGAATTATTTGCTAAATCAAAACTAGCCCATATGCAGA